CAACTCAATCTGCCTGCCTGCTTTGCCTGATTTTGGGTAAAAGTTGCTCTTTTTTATAAAAAAATCAATGTTTATATAAATATTTACAATATTTACATACAAGCCATGCCCAGCCAGTCACATGACCACCAAGCCACACCCACAAATTAGGCCACACCCACAGAACCAGTTAGTGGTCCCTAGGATCTAAAATTATGAGTTTGGTGGTCCCTGAGATCCAAAAGGTTGGCGACCCCTGGACCAAAATGAAATTCAATGTGGAGAAAAGTAAAGTCCTACACTTAGGCAAGAAAAACCAAAAGTACACATATAGACTGGGTGAAACCAGGCTCAATAGCAGTAACTGTGAGAGGGATCTTGGAGTCTTAGTGGACAACCAGCTAAATATGAGCCAGCCGTGTGCAGCAGCAGCCAAAAAAGCTAATGCAATCCTAAACTGTATTAACAGAGGGATACAATCAAGATCAAGTGAGGTACTAATACCACTCTATAAAGCCTTAGTAAGACCACACCTAGAGGACTGCATCCAGTTTGGGTCACCACATTATAAAAAAGATGTTGAGACTCTAGAAAAAGTACAGAGAAGAGCAACCAAGATGATTAGGGGACTGGAGGCTAAAACATACAACGAACAGTTGCAGGAACTGGGCATAGCTAGTCTAGTGAAGAGAAGGACCAGGGGAGACATGATAGCGGTCTTCCAATATTTGAGGGGCTGTCACAGGGAGGAAGGGGTCAAGCTATTTTCTAAATCGCCTGTAGGCCAGACAAGGAATATTGGATGCAAACTGAACAAGGAAAGATATAACCTGGAAACAAGGAGAAACTTTCTGTCAGTGAGAATAATCAACCAATAGAACAGCTTGCCCTCAGAAGTTGTGGGAGGCCATCACTTGAGACCTTCAAGAAGAGATTGGACTGCCATTTGTCAGAAATGGTGTAGGGTCTCCCACTTGGGCAGGGGGTTGGACTAGATGACCTACAAGGTCCCTTCCAACTGATTATGTGTTATCTGTTAAGACAACTTCCAAACAAACAGTAGGGAAAGAAGAGAAAAAAAAGAGTAATTTGATAAATAGAATCAGTTGTCCCATAAAATGTTTTTCCCTGGATATGTTCAAGTAGAGACTAATCAACTTTAATTTGAAACCCTGGATTAAACATTAACTTGGGCTCATAGATTAAATGAATGTAACCACTACACCACATGCGCTGTGCGGCTAACCTGTCACACCAAACCAAAACACCTCGCACCAAATCAAATCACATTGGATAAACAGGAACCAAACGAGTTGGATACATCGTTTCATCTTACAAAACAAAACAAAAACACTTCAAAATTGGGAATTAAAACTACGTTTCAACAAATCCTTTCACGTTAAAAACAGCTATCCGAAATTGCTAATAATGAGGAAAAAGTGCTTCATTAGCTATCACTTCCAGTCTGGTCTATTTATTCAGAATTAAGTCCTACAAAGCAACTAAGAGCAACTTAATCATTAGTTATTCTGGCAACTAAGAGCAACTTAATCCACCGTTTAGAATTTACATACAAATCCTCTTCTTGGGGCTGTCACTTCACTGACCGTGAATTCAGTTCGAGTTCTAGGCAGAAAATATACAAATATACCTGCTACCAGGAGCAGGTAAAAATGTACCTCGGTTCCTGCACATTCAGTCGGTCAGCAGTTCTTTCTAGCCTTCTAAGCCCAGCAAATACTTTGTTGATTTTATTATCACATTTTAAACCGACTTTTGATACTCGATCGCCCCGCCGCTACTCACCGCTCGCGGGGGGCAACCATGACCGGGCCTCGTCTGCGAAAGCTGGCCGAAGACAGGGCGGGGGC